TATATTTTCAAAGAGATACTTAAATCACGCGATTATGCTAGTTCCTCATACTATTACACACGTTAATAATATATGGTGAATAATATATGTTTAGATTCCTGTATCGACGTCCGAATATTCATCTGAGAAGAGTGAGACAAAAACCCCAACTATGGTTAGCAAACCAAAGTTGAGTGGGAGTGATTCAAAAAGGCACAAAAATGTAGAATCGAAAACTTCAAATTCCTTTGCTGAATTATTTGGAACACCGTTGAAACCTACGAAGGTTTCCCAAGACACCAAAAAGCTTACACAGCCTGAAAGATCATCTGCTTCTAAGTCATCAGTTACCACAGAAAAGTCTGATAAGGTGGATAAAGCAAAACTTAAAGATAGCCCTCACAAGGATGGTAAAAAGGAAAAGCTAGATGATAAAAAGGATAAGAAAATTAAAGATCAATCGAAAGATAAAACTCGAAGTAAAGAGAAATCAAAAAGGCCTCCGAGTCCGGGAAATAGAAGCCATTCTAGCCCTTCGAATAAGAGACCTTTGTCACCTCCAGCCATACCAGTAAAGAAACCTCCTAGTCCTCTTCCCCCTCCAAAAAGATCAGCTTCCCCAAAGCCTAAAGATAAAGAACTGAAGAAAGTACCCGCAGAAAAGGAGAAAGAGAAGAGTAAGGAGAAAGTTAAAGATAGCTCGAAGAATATTGCCGACTCTTCAAAAAGTGAGAAGAAGAAAGATAAGAAGAAGCACAAGGAAGATCGGGATAAAGAGCGGAAAGATAAATATAAGGATGGAGAACAGTCTAGTTCGAAAGAACCGATGAAAGTTACTGAAAAGAAAAATGACAAGCCGGAGAAATCAGAGAGAGCAGAGAAAGAGAAGAATCAAGAGTACAAATCTACGAAAGATGGAAGAAAGTCACCAAAACCTCAAAAAGAAAGTGAGAAACCAAAGGATGACAAATTGTTGAAAATTGAAAAATCGGAAAAGACTGAGAAAACTGATAAAACGAAGGACGGCAAAACTGAGAAAGACAGGCAGAAGCACAAGCACAAGAAAAGGGATAAAAAGGACAAGCGAGATAGTAGCAAAGATAGGGAGAGAAAGGAGAAACGAGAAAGGATAAAATCGTCAGTGGATAAACAAAATAACGTGCCTAATGCTTCTGTAGCTAATCCTCTCTCAGCTCTCTTGGCAGAAATTCCGGAAAGAGACAGTAGTGATTCAGCGCCATCCGTAGATGAAGATTCTTACTCGGAATCAAAATTAGTGCCTACTATTAAGAAAGAAACAGAGAATTTGACAGTATCTACACCGCCTACAGAAATGGCTAAACCACTTTCGCCTGCAATGCCAATGATGGACATCAAGAAGGAGAAAGTAGAACGAATTAAAAGGGAGAAACCTAAGGGAAGTAAAGGGGAGGAAAAGGAGACGCGGAAGAGGAAACGAAAAAGTGATAGTAAACTTGACGATGAGCCAGCGATCAAAAGGGAAAAGGATAGAGGTCATTCAACATCTCCTACTTTAGAACCTGTGTCGTCGAGTCAATCGCCAGTCGTAGTGGACCAGGAAATGGTTCATGTGAAGGAGGAACGTAGTGTCAAGGAGGGACAAATCATTGAAAAGAATGTAGAAGTGGAAGCAGAACAAGTGGCCCCCGATTCAACGAATAGTACTTTAGTTGATTCCGATATGGGAGAACCGCCAGTGTTTTCGGAAGATTACGTGTCACAGTTGAAAGACTTGCAGCAAAAAATAATGACTTTGCAAGATAACGAGGAATTACAAAGAGTTGTTCAGGTAATTGCGGAAACTGGTCAATACGAGATCACGAAAAAGACGTTTGACTTTGATCTGTGTGCTTTAGATCGTAGAACGGTACAGCGTTTGCAACAATTCTTTGCATCGTGACCGTCTATAGTTTAGGTCAGAATATTCTTTATAACATATTAATATTCTATGTATATTAAGTCATTAAGTTATATGAGCTTACAAGAGAGATTCTTTCAAACAAGTAATTTGTACATACATAAAGTCCTAAGAAACTCTTTTAGGTATTAATTTTCTCTGTAAGAGAAGAAGAATCCATTTTTATCTGGACAAATAACTTGAGTGTTCGTATAGATATGTTTGTTTTAATTTAATGATTGTTCATATTCAATTCTACCGCATAACAATGCATAAATTATGCACAACAAAAATTTCGATCAAAAATCGCTGCAAGACATGAGAACATCTATCCCTCATTAATCACAAGATCACGTTATTTTCATAGATTTTTACATATTTCCAGCACTTGTTATTTTTACATTATTTTGTACATATTTAATGTATAATCTGTATAAAGTATAGATTGGGAATTTTATGTTGTCATTATTTAACATAAAGGTTTAACTGTTTCTCTGGGAACATTGGAATATAATCTACAATGCATTTATTCACGTTATATAGACGTGAAATACATTCTTTTTAATCATGAATATGAAGAAAGTTATTGACTTTTATAATAGTCCAGATTGTTCAAAGATTTTGTGCATCGCATCACTTTGTAACATAGATATATTCTTGATATCTCGCAAAGGATTTGACCTACGGGTTCATATGCCAGAACCGGAGACATCCATTGTATTTATTAATACTTTCATGCACGACCTACACGACGTGACGGACGTGACTGCAAGCAAACGAAACGATCATTTTTATCTATTGGATGTATTCGGTATAGAATTTTAACGAGTTTCTGCAACCTCCTAAATATTTAGTAGTACAATCGGCGCAAATTTTTATCTAATCACTTATGTAAACCACTTTGCAAGTATTAGCCCGCATTAGTATAAGTTTGAAAAGAGCGAGTAATATTAATATGTCATGAACAGAAAATAGTTTGTCAGATTCTTAGCCACGAATGTTCATTCTCAATAATTTTGTATAAACGTGAATGTTTATCGTTTTAACTGGAATGTAAATTAATATTTCGTTTCGCGAATACAGCACATAAATAGGTAACTGTCATTGTTTTTGTCTTGTTCAGGACATACGGAATACGTACTCGCTATCAATATGTCTATACGGATGATTCATTCACGGTGAAAAATGTGAAAATATTTTTATCTGCTTTTTATCAAAAGTGACCATCGGACAAAGATCTAAGATGGTACTTTACTGAATTGTCTAGATAAATCATCCGACATCCACATCCGAAGTGACAAATCTAAATTTGCTTTGATCATATGCTATTGTTCGTTTCACTATCGCAAAGTATCATTGAGTGGTCATGATTTTGCGTGCAATTGATACACCAAATAGTGTCTAATGTTTTTTAATACTGTTATAAATAATGGAGATTGCATATTAGATAAATACCGTGGTACTTTGTATAGTTTTTTTGCAGTATGTTATTTATTGTATTAGAGGGAACCAGAGAAGCCCTGAATGTCGATCGAATGAGAAAGTTGGGTAATTATTGAGACGATTATACTTGCGTGATTTTGTAGTGTGATGTTGAACAATTTTTGTACGTACTCACTGCTTGGACTTGGTTTCCGAAATATTCTAAAAAATGTAATCAATACGCATGATAATTATTTATAAAAAAGCAGCGCACCAATTTCGATGATCTTGAAATCGGTAAGGAGAACATGTAATGATCACCAGAAGTTGTTTAATCGAAATCGTACTTGTAGAAGTATAATATTTTTGTGTTTATATGGAAAACGTGTTGTTAAAAGTGTACTCACAACATTTTTGGGTTAGTAAAAACGGAAGATAATGATGGGGAAATCAAGAATAACCGCATAGTCGAAATTAAAACAAATTCAGTGGATTTGTTTCTAATTCGCATTTAAATTTTTGACAATTAATCTATGATATTTACTTGTTTCATTGGAATTGAATCTGCTGAATGGTATATTATGTCAGCATTAGACTCTCGTCTAGGCAAGGTGAGAGTGTATTTGCATCGCGCTCGTCTTGTCTTATGTTGCCTTGTCTCATCTGATCATTGCTCGGCTCCGAATTGTTGGTAAGATAAGCATGTAGCATGATACGTTTCAGTAAAAGTCTCGACGAAATGTTCAGCGAAGGCGAGACATCTTGATGAGAGTGTACTGCTGGTATTAGAAATCAAAGGAATTCTATTTGAACAAGGGCATTACATATTAAGTATCTGCAGGATAATATTTGTACTATATACTCTGTTATTAGATTTAAATCAACGGAATTGTCATTTACACTCATACACTGTCACCAGTTAGTAAATTAATTTGAAATCGGTTACCTATCAGAATATAGTATGATTTGTCGAATATTGAGAGTTAAATTCAAATTTCCTGTTGCATTAGTGTATTCCACTCCTGATCAATAAGATTTCAAAGAGAGTTGTTCGAATGGTCTGTTCGCATGCCATAATATGTATATACTGAACTTTGTCATTTTGTGAATACATTATACGACGCGTGAGTTAGCTACGAGATTACAGAAAAAGTGATCCTTTGGTTGAACGGTTGTATTGTCGAATCAGTTGTTTTTTTATTGTTTTTTTTGTCTCAGTATAAGTGCATACATAGAGGTGTGCAAGAACTCGAAAATATCGGGTCGGGTCGGATCCAGTTTTCCAAGAACATTGGAATTCCCGAGACTTTTGAGATCCTCAACAACTCCACTTTGATATAATTTCGAAAATTATAAAAATATGATAGGTAGAATGTGGTACAAATGTAATAAAGAAGTATGTTATTAATATGAGATTTTATTTCGGCTTTTGTATGTAAAGGTGCTGTCTACCTATCGTCATTTTATAGTTTTCGTAACTTCTTAGAAATATTGCAACTCTCGAGAATTTAATTATTTTAGGGAATAAAGATATTTTCTGGAATCTCGGCAATCCCGTACTATAAGAAACTCTCGTAACGCGACTCGCCCCGTCCCGAACGTCGAGTTCTCGCTCATGTTTGTACATAATACATATGTATACATATACAGAATGTTTGCATTTTAAGTGTGTATGCTTTTATTATTATTATTTGTTTTGTAGATATTTAATCATGTTTCGAAACCGAAGTCATTTTTATTTTTCGCCTGCACGAGTTTAATTAATCAATTTTGATGGGTATGTTCGTACGTGTTCAAATTGGTGCGTATATTATGTATACATAAGTACATATGTATATTGATCATGATAAAATGGTCTTGAGCCTTGAATGATGTTTTTTTAAGTAGATTAATATTATGTCAGGACGATGCACAATTGCGCAAACCGAAGTCTCTCGGCGATCAAGAAATGAAAATTGTAGATAGCAGAGAATCGTGCGTAGAATTAATCTTATCCTATCAGGATATAGTACAAGATAGCACTCCTAAATTGATATGCCATTCGGTGTACATTTCTACGTTCAATGTACATTTAATAAGTACCTTTGGTGACTAATAAATATCTTATATACATGTGCCTCTATTAAAAACAAAATACGTCACGATACTTTTTGCATTGAGAAGAAGAAAAGAAGAAGAACACGAGTAATGCGTATATTAATATACACGTAAATAAGGAACACCAGCATTTCTTGTTTATTCCATTTTATAATTATTTAATTTTTTTGTACTCGTTTCCTGCTACTGAAAAGACCTAAACATGCGTACATACCTATACATATTGCATAGAGAATTATAATGAGACGATAAATAATAAATCATCGTTAAAGGAAGGCAAGAGTATTTTTCCAATCACAGGATCTATCAAAAGCCTTTCGTAATTAGTAACGTATACCATATTACAGCAGTTTATTGGGTCTTGTGTAATATTTTGTACAACAGTGTAACAGAATAAATTTCCTTACGGATATCTCCATACAATGACCATCTTCGTCGCGGTAACGTCGCATAATTAGATAAATAATATCCGATCCTCGGCAGAGACAATCTTTGGCCCAAGCTTCTCTCGCTGATCGTGCAACGACGGTAGTTGTAGGTAATAATATTTTAAAGCCCATCGTGCGGAACCGTTCATTCCCACGCATGAATTAATGTAGGAAGCATAAAAGAACGAAATATCTTAGTATCCCGCCAGTTCAGCGAACGTGGAGTCCATCTCGTCGGCGAGTGACTTGTATCTGTCCTTGTTGATGCCCAATTCGTCTGGAAAAGTATGGAAACCAGTTGAGTCCCTGTTCTCTTTTCTATTTTACACGGCTATATGTCTAATCAATAATGTTCCTACGCAATTTCTACTCGGTTTACAATGTGTTTGCCCGATAAACAGATACATCATTCGTTCGAGAATGGTATCAACGAGTTTTCCTGTTTATCAAGCAAACACGGATCGATATACTACTTATTTTAATGAACCTAAGTCACGGTTTAGAATTAATGTGGACATCGACATCGTCGCTTGTTCGCTATGGAAAGGATGCTAAAAACCTAGGCTAGAAAAAAAAAATCATTAGGTAAAATTATGTATTCTGGCATACTGGCACTCGTCCTAAAAAAAAAGCACACTTATAGCCCTAAAAATCTGTGTGTAAACGTCACACAACATAGTGTGTCTGTGTGTTTGTACGTTTATATGGAGACAAAATTTTATACTAAAAGCATGTGTGGAAGCGAACGTTAAACAAAAGCGTTAATACATGTTCATTCGATGCATGCGAGAATCGTGAGGTATAGTATACCTTTGCACGAGTGTAAGACAAAACAATTTTGCGCGGGGATTCGGCAAATGCACATGACGTACGATGGCCCATATAAATGTGCGAAGCTTTGTCTGTTTTTTAAACTTTATTCTGTTAAGCGCCTTGTGTGCTCGTGTGTTCTTGTACGCGTATATTAAAGGACAATGCCCAATGAACGACATACTAATTAAATAGTTCTTAAAAAAAAAAGATCAAGCGAAGCATTCCCATCGGACGAAGTACGAACAAAACATGAACAATAAGAGAACTAAATTGAACGAAAGTAATCTTGAAGATGAACGATGATCGATAAACAATGATATACGTAAGCGTGAACCACACAAGAAAAAAGCAGAACATATAACGCCTTTTTATCTTTCTTCTGGTATTCTATCTTGTGAAAAAAATGTTTGTTAAAACGGTAACGAAAGATGGACTCAATTTTAAAAGCTATTACAGCGGAATAGAAGAATAATAGCTAAAGCGAAAAAGTATTTTCGGTATAAACGAGATAACGTGATAGAAACGGATAAATATGTTCCGTGTAGTGGAATAAACGAAAAACATTTGAAACGAGTATGAGATATCTTTTTTTTTTTTTAGTAGCCAGAAAGCTCAGAGAATGTCTTGTCCAATTCTTCGCAAATCGTTTTGCGTTTCTCCTTCTGCTGGTGCAATACGTCTGTAAAGAAAATTAGTTGTGTTGCACAATCAAGAAGTGTCGCTCATTAACGCGGATATTTAGTAACAAACACTACCTTCTCAATCTCTGTAATCATAAAACGAGTGAAAAATTGATATTTTTATTTTACTTAATTTACTCTATTAAATGCCCTCAACACAGAGATGTTGCTTGGTTTAACTAAATGTCAATTTAGCCAAATTTTTAGGCGAAATTAATTTTTTTTATATGCAGCATTTCATGAAATATTTTTAACGACGACGGTAGCTAGTGAATTGAACACGCATATAGAATTTGTATACTGCGAAATCGAAGAACGGAAATGTTGTCATTTTGCCAGATTACGTTAGCTGTCTAAATTCGGTGCAAAGAACTCTGAGAACATTCTGTAGTAACAAATACGTAATATGAAAAATAAAAATAGAAGGCAAATTATACTCATCCTTAATTCGTGAAATGGCACTGCTCGGATGTGTAAATAACAATTAAAAAAAAAGATAGAAAAGTAGGATTGAAGACTGACCTTCGAGCCTGTCGACCTCCTTTTGAAGTTTCTTGACAGTTTTCTCAGCGAATTCGGCGCGGGCTTCGGCTTCCTTTAGTTTCACTGTCAAGGTTTTGAGTTGGCGCTTGAATTCCTCGACTCTTTGATTAGCCTAAATGAACGAAAAACGATAAAGTTAAATGTGAAAGCCACATTCGTTAATCAAACTTTATTTTAGAGTGATAATGAATACGATTAATTCACCTTTTCTTCTGAGACTTCCAAAGATTTCAAGCTGTTACCGACAACTTTAAGTTCCTCTTCAAGCTCCATGATCTTACTGAAATAATGAGAGAGATTTTTTTTTTTTTTAGTAGCCAGAAAGCTCAGAGAATGTCTTGTCCAATTCTTCGCAAATCGTTTTGCGTTTCTCCTTCTGCTGGTGCAATACGTCTGTAAAGAAAATTAGTTGTGTTGCACAATCAAGAAGTGTCGCTCATTAACGCGGATATTTAGTAACAAACACTACCTTCTCAATCTCTGTAATCATAAAACGAGTGAAAAATTGATATTTTTATTTTACTTAATTTACTCTATTAAATGCCCTCAACACAGAGATGTTGCTTGGTTTAACTAAATGTCAATTTAGCCAAATTTTTAGGCGAAATTAATTTTTTTTATATGCAGCATTTCATGAAATATTTTTAACGACGACGGTAGCTAGTGAATTGAACACGCATATAGAATTTGTATACTGCGAAATCGAAGAACGGAAATGTTGTCATTTTGCCAGATTACGTTAGCTGTCTAAATTCGGTGCAAAGAACTCTGAGAACATTCTGTAGTAACAAATACGTAATATGAAAAATAAAAATAGAAGGCAAATTATACTCATCCTTAATTCGTGAAATGGCACTGCTCGGATGTGTAAATAACAATTAAAAAAAAAGATAGAAAAGTAGGATTGAAGACTGACCTTCGAGCCTGTCGACCTCCTTTTGAAGTTTCTTGACAGTTTTCTCAGCGAATTCGGCGCGGGCTTCGGCTTCCTTTAGTTTCACTGTCAAGGTTTTGAGTTGGCGCTTGAATTCCTCGACTCTTTGATTAGCCTAAATGAACGAAAAACGATAAAGTTAAATGTGAAAGCCACATTCGTTAATCAAACTTTATTTTAGAGTGATAATGAATACGATTAATTCACCTTTTCTTCTGAGACTTCCAAAGATTTCAAGCTGTTACCGACAACTTTAAGTTCCTCTTCAAGCTCCATGATCTTACTGAAATAATGAGAGAGATTCATCGTTGTAATAGCAATTAAATATTATTTTGAAATCATCAGTTTATCATATTGAGTAGAAATGCACTAAAATTACAGATTACTATATTTGGACCAAACCGCGATTATCGTAGTAACTTACGCTTCACCAGACTTGACTCGATCTTCTGCAACTTCCAGCTCGTCTTCAACGAAGGCCAGCTTTCGCGATACCTCGTCCGATTTTCCATCAGCGTCCTCAGCGAGTAAACGTGCTTCTTTCAGTTGATTCGTTAACTGATCCATTCTCTCCTCATCCTGCTGTGCACGGTTTTCTAATACTTTGCACATACTGTAATTACGTTCATCAATATAATTTTATCCAGTGTGAGAATATGTAACTTCACAATTGATTTTTCTTCAATATGTACCGGCTCGATTCATCAGCAGCCTGAGAAGCTTCTGCCAACTTAGCGGTAGCGGTGTTCAATCGCTCTTCAGATCTCTCCAAGTCCTCCTCAATCAGTTGAACTTTCCGGTTCAATGCGGCGACCTCGGACTCGGCCTGAAATTAAAAAGCTCCGGATGACATACTGACCCTCGTCTCTTCGAACAAAAAGATTGAAACAAGGGGAGTAGAACGGGGCGATTTTTTTTAGGTCACGAGATGCTGTAATAATTGTAAAATTAACGATGAGTCAGGTCTTAAAACGAGCTAACCGCGGTATAAATATAAATAAAACATCGCTGGTGAAAAATTGGCTTGGATGCGTTCCAACTGAACAGCTGGAACGTATTTTTTTCTAATTGCATCGAGAAATCTTACGTTGGTTAGAGCCTTCTCCTTCTCTTCGAGGTCTTTGTTCGCTTGTTCCAGGGCCTGTTTGTTGGATGAAAGATCGCTCTCCACCTGATTGAGTTTCTTCTGCAAGTCGCTGACTTCTTCAAGGACCTTGTCCGCGCGCATGTTAGCGTCCTTCGCCTGCCCTTCGCAGGCGTCGGCTTTATCCATCGCGTTATCCTTCTCAAGCTTCATCGCTTGCATCTTCTTCTTGATCGCGTCCATGATGACGACCTTTTTCTCTTACTGGCTTCGTTCAAGAAACTGTTGAGTTCGCTGAAATCGGCCATGTTTCCTTTTATTGAGCGATTACACATCCGACAAGGAGTGGTTGCCTTGATTAGAAGCGTTAGATGCTTAGGATATGTGATGATTTAAAACCATCGTAAGCTTGCTGTTCATGACGTTACTAGTTTAATACAGTATAATAATATTTCTCAAACAATTGGATTTATTTAGTAGATATTGACCATTGTGGAATCTGAGGTTTGAGTACACAGTAATAGTTTAACATAAATGAGGGCATCGTTTGTGTGTAAAATGTAAAGCATACGCGAGTCGTCATCGTTTTAACCCTGAAAATAGATGAGCCAGCGCGCGGTCGAAACCGCAAGGAGGAGTTGGATAAAGCGCGATGCATATTTTTCGATCCTCGCGAGTTCTGCGATACCGTCATTCGGCTTCGCGGGGACGTGGAAAGGGGCAGATCGTTGCGTCTACGGAAATAGCACCCATAGGCAGGCTCTATAAATATGCGCGGTACGGCGCGGCGGCCGAACGTCGAGAGGCCGCGGGGCTAGGAAGCCAAAAAGCACGCCGCGTAACCCAGAAGAACGGACTTTACTTGGCCGCCACCGACGACCGACATTCGATCTAACTGCCGCGTATTAATAGCATTTACGAAATCATCGTCGCCATCGCGATCCCGCGTTTACAGATTCTCAGGATTTGTCAAGAATATTTGCCTTCTTCATTCGGTTCATCGTCATTCTTTTCTATTTATTCAAAATGATAAGACGATGCTGTGATTTCTCAGCTTTCAGCCGCGAATACGCAAATTATTTGTGTTGTAAGAAGATTATAATTCGTTAACGAAATATTAATGGGTTAAGAATATTCATGACTGAATGCAAACAATATAATGCTACGGGAAGACAATGAATGTTCCCGGTTGATTAAATTCGTAAATTATATTAATCGTTTACTTGTTGAATGGCATAACGTTGTTCGATACTGTTTCTGGATATTAATAGCATCTGGAAGATTTTGGCATCTGGTTACTCGCGAGTGCCAAAATGACATCAGAAAGCAGATTCTCAATGGTCAATAACAGCATCAGCTTTTTCGAGTTATTTAACCGCAAGCATGCATTGTTAAGTACTTATTTGACAAATTTAATTACGGGAAGAGGATTAGCGGGGTATTGAAAATGTTAGGCGAATGCTACTTACGACATTGCGTTACATCGAGCTTGAAAGCAAATTCTTGAAGCGTTAGCGGTGTTGCTGTTAATTATCAGCTGTTAATGTGTCGCGAATGCATCCATGATATCGTTGATGATTCTGCAACCATTTAAATCATTGCTATGATTTTTGTCAGAAAAAATTTTTGGTAATCATTTATAAGTAAAAGTTTTACATATTGGCAGTAGAAGAAAATAGTTCATGTAAACGAAACGATTTGATGACGAAAATTGAATAAACACAATATTTTTATTATTGTCAATAGTGTATGCTATTATACCACTTTACTCGATATTTTAAGATTTGATAACGAGAAGTTCAGTATGCGAAAGTTATATCTATTATTACTAATTGTAAGTAGTGTTAGGAGATAAGCGCTACTTACGAGCATCGTCAAAGCAGAGCATTATGTAAAACCTCGAAGGCAAAGCACACTAGCGATAAGCCACTTCCAGAAAGGTAGCATTGTCTCCGCGGAAGCCAAACCCTTTTGTACATGAGTTTTATCGAAGCTGGAGCTTGTTAGTCGACGAAGCAGCTCCGTTGTTAACGTCAATAAGCGATCTTCAGGCGGGACTCCGTCGACGAAGAACAAGATGTTCTTCATCAATTTTACACCAGTAAAAAATTCCACGCACTCGTTCATCCACATCTTTGCTTTCTTTCACACTCGCGGCGCGAACACCGATTTATCGCGCACGCTGATCAAAGCGTTGATCTTGATAACAGCTAGACAATAGAGGTAAAGCTACCCGCGGCAGGGAATCGTCGTGAATTTTTCACTTACCTAACCCGAGCGAGCAGAGTGGCGCGAGTCGAGTGTCCCGAGGGTGTTTCGGAGAGTTTCCTCTTCGACGAGGACGTGTGTTAACCAAGCCGGAGCCGAACCCGAAGGTGGGGAGCCCAAAAATGGATCGCCGCGGAAGGTTCTACGGGGGTGGGGCCGTGCACGTTTATTTTCTGCACGCACGTCCACGAAATTTCTCTCACCTTCCAATCAGGAGACACTGGCTGGATCGAACGGTCCTCGGATATGCGTATCACTTACAAATCATGAACGAATGCTTTTCATCTAACGATCAGACGATCGATGTAGATTTTATCGATCAATGGTTTGACTACGATTATTCGTTGTGTATCAACTGGAAGGATCACAGTAGCTGTAATTAGATCAGTTTTATTATAACGACATATAACAGTAACGTAACAATAACTATGACATATATTTTTTCTATGTTGGTCGTTAGTACATGGCAATTGAAACGAGAGCACAGGATAGAGATTGTCCGTGCTTCAACCACGGTTTATTCTTTGCTCCTATTTTTGAGAGTTTTGTAGCACGTTGTACAGCGAGTAGGAACTTTTAAGCAACTACAATTTAAACAGTCGGATAAAAACAATAAACATTTGGTCGTGTAACCAGTATTAAAAGAAAATCGTATGGAAACAAGTGCAATGTTACTAACGTTCATGAAGAAGTCGATGTTCACTGTGATTACGTGCACACTGTCTAATTCTATAGGTGACAGCGTCCGAGTCATCGTGATTAGAAGTATTTTTTTAGCGTCTGTATTCAACCCTGTCCAATCGATTTGAAAGATCGCGTCAGCTAGATCGACGCTCTGAAATGACCATTAGAATCTTTGGTGTTGAACCTACAAGAGAAATGATGAAAGTTTCTAAAAGGACGAACCTTCAGTTTCACTTCGTTTCCATACCAGCAATAAAGGAAACACTGCATTAGGATGGTAGTCAGATAAAATACCGTTGCTAAGAATTCCGTGCTCAAAATATCTGCCTTCAGTAATTGAACGAGGCTCAGACAGAGCACCACGAAGCTCCCGAAAAATTGCGAGAAGATCATTAAGTTCAGGGCATCGTTCATCATCGCTGCTAGTCTGCAACGGAAACTAATTCTAGTACATCCGTTAATGTGAATTCAAGAACGATTTGACCGAATCAATTACTGGTAAATACAGTTGTGATGACGAACAAATCTCCGCAAAACGATCTTGCTATTCGTTGCTACATTGTTCAGACGAAACAGAAGAATTTCGAATTGGCAACAGATTTGCATGAGCACTCCGAAAAATAGGACATCGGTCGCAACGTGCACGAACGACATCAGCGATACGGATAACAGCTGACAACCGAACGTAAACGGGAAAACTATCGCAGAAGTATAATTGTAAGGCAGCCAAGCTCTATAAGTTAGTCTACGATCCTTGTAATTCGTTAATATCGAGCTCAAAATGGTCATGCCAACCGAAGATTCAATTAGTAACAAATATCGAAGCGCATTTTTCCTGTGAAAATATTTTTTCACATTAATATTAGTAAAAGAATAAGTGATCCTGGTGTTGATTGTACTAACTGCACTTGATTATCGTATTTCAATTGGATTTCCGTTTCTTCTATATCCGAGACAGCGCATGGTTCCTCCAAAAAGACGTTCATCATAGCTATAATTTTTTCTCGATAAAGCAGCACGTTGATCGATTTGCAAAAGCCGACGCAGATGGTAATTAATATATACATAATCTCCGCGAATTCGTCGATGTTTTCTACGCTGAAGATGCTGCCAATTGCAGTAACTATGAAGCCAATGGAAAGTAGTATAAACAACAGTGTATAGGTATTGTAAATCGCTGTCTTTAGTGTCGATGACCATGCGATTGGTCGCCAACACCCACAACACGATAGGAGCGTAAAGAATGTCGACACTCTCATATTCCTTTCAATGAGATTTTCAATTAGGATCTGAACCACGAAAAACCCGCGCACTTAAACATTTCTTAATATATGTAGAATGCTCTTATAATACTGTATAGTATGGAAGATGTTCACTTCCCGATGTCTCGTACACGTTTGAGGGATGATTCTTATAAAGCTTATTAGTCATGCACCCCGTATCGCTGTACGAGTAGATTACCTATCATTAAATAACTTATAATTGAAATAGCAAAATTGCCTTCAACTCTATGAAACAAATATCGTTGTATATGAATGATTTTTTTATGATACGTAATACAGACCTGCGACAAAATGAAATTCTTTTTTTTACTTACGCCAGTATTACTGCAGAGTAAGTAAGTAGTACAGTTCCTGAACGATGAAAACAAGTAACTTGATATTTTATCAGACTTTTATCCGTTGATCATAAATAAAATATAATACGAGGAACAGTTTTTTCAATAACATTTGTTAGTTCGTTCGGATATTATACACGTGTGAGTAAGACAGTTGTGGTATTCAAGGTATTGTAATAATGAGTAGAACAATTATACAAAATTGTGTCATACTTACAAAGGAGCCCATCCAACCTTGAAACGACGCGCTGATTTTGATGAAATTTACATAAGATATAGATCTCAAAAAATATTTAACACGTGTTTTTCTTATTGACAATTGTTCATGTTAAAGAGGTGAGAAAAGCCTTCAAAGCTTAACGCCAGTTTGGCACATACTATCGTTAGTTCAAAGTCGATGGAAGAGTTTTAACGAGGTTGTAACATTTGTCCATTATAAAAATCGTCAAAAAAATTAGTATCCGATACTTATTGCGAGATCAAGATGGCAGACATTGGTACAGGTAATAATTTTTATGGCGAATTTTACAACCACACTAAAGCTCTTCCACCGACTTTAAGTCGGGGCGAAATATATATGTATAGGACCTTTCATAAGATAGCAGGGTTGTTGTCCCTTTCACCTTACAAAAGAGATCGCAACAACACTGCTGTAAACTCTCTAATGGCATGATGGATAGATTCCTTCTTTAGATGACAAAAGTATACATATACATTCTTGTTCAATAGCGTCTTCTGTTTATTGAACAATCGTAGATACAGAACAATCGAATTTGTAATAACATTGTTAAAATGCTATAATGTTTCTACTTCAAGATGGAAATGTAAATGTCAGCTATTTATAATGAAGAAGCTGCCTTCAATAATTAATTAAGCCAATGCTAGCATTTTCCTCGTTCGTTCGTAATTATTTTCTTGACTTCTGCAAGACGTTGTAAAACGAATAGGAACTCTTAATCAACTACAATCAGACAAATAAAAATAATTGCTATAATTTTTTTAATTGGTCAGAGACAGGGAAGGATGTGTAAAATCCACAAATGTCGATACAAAATTTCATAACGGTCGTTATATGTATACCTGATTTAACTTATAAAATTAATAATCTTGCAATTAGACAATTAGAAAAATTCTTTTAGTACAACATTGTTAACCACTTGCATGCCTTAACTATTTCTTTAATCCAAGTTGAAAATGAATTTTGTATCGGCTTTTGAACTTAGTATCAGTAAAAACATAACGCGTGGAAATATGTACATTATTACTAACATTCATAAAGAAATTGACGTTTACTGTTACCACGTGCGCGCTTTCAAATTCTACGGGGGAGAGTGTTCGATTCATGGCGATCAAGAGTATCGTCTTAGCTTCCTCGTTTAGTTCTGTCCAATCACTTTGAAAGATCTCATCAGCTAAATTCATACCCTGTAAAAATTATTGCAATTTTTGCCACTAAATTTGATTTGTAAAAATGCATGAGAGCTCGGAAAACGAACCTTCAGCTTTATTTCATTTCCGTACCAACAATAAAGAAAAGTCTGCAGTAGAATCGTAGACAGGTAAAATATAGCCGCCAGAAATTCGGTGCTGAATATGTCTGCCTTCAATAATTGTATTAAACTTAAGCAAAGCACCATAAAGCTTCCCAAAAATTGAGCAATAATAATTAAGTTTAGAGTATTATTTATCATATCAGCTAGTCTGTAATGAAATTACCTTCATATAATTAAAATTCTCTATTTTCTTTTCCGCAGCAGAAGTTAAGAAATACTGGAGTTCAAATGATTATAGAACTTTGCATGCATAATTGGATTAGTTGTAATTAATAAAGAGAAGAGAATAAAAAGAACATATATTTTTTATTTAAGTATGTAAGCTGCCCTATTTCACTTACTGTTTCCTGTAAGAGTAAAAATATTCTGTATTCATCAGAATGACAATTTTATGAAAAGAAATTGTATGACGAACAATGTTATAAAATTCCATAAGTTTTGAATCTTCGAATTCCTTAACTTCTCTCGATAAACAGACTCAAGAGTGATTTAACCGAGTCAATTACTGGTAAATACGGTTGTGGTGGCGGACAAATCTCTGTAAGCTAGCTTTCGTATTAGACGTTACGTTGTTTAGACGAGACAGAAGAATATCGAATTGGCATTTCAATTGCATTAACAGGCCGACAAATAGAATATCGGCAGCAATGTGTATCAGGGAGAGTAGAACTACGCATAGCAGCTGCAAAGTAAAAGTCAATGGAAAAACAACCGAGATCGTGTAGTCGTAAGGTATCCAGGCTCTGTACGTTAATCTCTTATACTGATAGTTGATTATGAACGAATTGAGAATGGTCATGATGACTGAAGTTTGGACCATTATTGTATATCCCAAAGCGGTCTTCCTGTGAAGATATTTTACGTTGACAGTAGCAACGAAACAATATTTTGCTTGATACTAACCATAATCGATTGTCGCATATTAATTGAATCTCGGCTTCGTCAGTGTTTGATGGAGTGCATGGTGCCGTCAGAAAAGCGTTCATCAGGTTCATAATTTCTTTACGCTTGAGCAATACGTTCATCATTTTGCAACAACCGCTAGCCACACTAGTTAATATATAAGTATTTTCCACGAATTCATCTATATTCTCTACAGTGAAGAGACTGCCGATTCCAGAAACTAAGAAGGCGATAGACAAGAGTATAATAAAAGCAGAGTAACTGTTGTAAATTACTATTTTCAACGGCGTGGTCCATGTAAGTGGTCGCCAACAGCCAGTACACGTGAGTAATGTAAAAAACGTTGACACATTCATCTTTGTTTCATCGGCAAAACAACGATTTCATATGCGTGAAATGTAATTTAGAATTTCTGTATCTTAGCATAAGAACTTGAAGTCACGTCAATGCGGAAAGCTAGCTGCCAAAGATGTTCACTGTACAACGTTCCCCACGCATCTGAGGGATGATTCTTATAAAGCTTATTAGTAATGCACCCCGTTTTTTCATGTTGATCATTAATTCAACCAATCGCGAAATGACCGCTAATTCAAGCAGAAAAAATGCAGTACTTCATGGGTGGACATTATTAAAGGAAGATGACTTTTTGATGAGACACGATATAGACCTATGAAAACTATTTTTTCCCCCTTTCATTACTTTTACTTATGTTACTTCAGATAGTCAACGTAATTTCTTATTCAGAAATATTGTTGTCGGAAAACAGTGACACAATCGTTTCTGTGATGATAAAGTCTGTTCTTTTTTATTCTCTGACAGTGTTCGTGATGATAATGAACAAAATGATAGTATAATATGATAATGCACAAAAATGATACGAATACATTAGTTATAAAAATAGTACGACAAAATACGGTATATATCTACATATGTATATACGAGCATTGACGCGATGTCTCTATACAAATAAATTCATTTATAAACAATTTTATGTAAATTTAAAGTACATACATCTTAAGAAAACTAATTCTAACTTAATAGTGCCCACGATTATTACTTGACAGCTGGACATATTTTCGTTCACTATTTCGGTGAATGTACGTACACATACATATACATGGTATTCACAATTTATATAAAATGTATGAAAGAAGGAAGTTATTCGTACACAAATATTGCTTCCATGCTTTAATGATACAAATAAGAAAATAGTTGCACCAGCGATAATCTTTTGGACGACACCAGATGAACTTTCTTATTTACTCGCAGTATTTGTCAAGAGATTGTAGGACGAATATGTTATTTTCATGATCTATAATTCAAAATGATTAGGAGTCGTTAATACCTTCAACATTCATTTAAAAAGTACGCCTAATATACTAACACTTCTGAAAGATTCGACGGACAGAGTCAGTACGTATCCGCTTGTCATTTTCACCGGTCTTGTAGATCTTACCATAATCAACAGTAAATCCTTCATTACGTTAACAGGCAACGTTGTCCAATCCATTTCGTAAATAGCATCGCCCACTTTGCTGCTCTAAAAATATTATCGGCGCAATATACTAATGATTTAAATTGCTATAATCTCCAACTTGAGATGTGAATAAAAAATAAAATCTCTTTGTTTTCATTCATTATCTGAGAGTAAGCAAAAATTAACTGGTACTATAATAATGTACATCATCTTAGTCATAAATGATTAATAATTCAGAAATAAATGTTGTAATTTTATATAAAATTGAATATAGTAATCATTTGTGTAACTAATTGATTGATAAATGACTATTTTTATTGCCAAAACAGTTCCTTGCTAATGTACTAATAAATAGAAGTACAATGATCAAGAAGCTCTGCCAACCTTCAACGTCACCTCGTTTCCAAACCAACAATATAAATACACCTGCATGAGCATGCAACACAAATAGAAAGCGCTCCAAATGAAGTTTACGCTGAATGGATCTATTGTTGACATTTTATAAATACTTAGGCAAAGCACTGTGGAGCTTATAGAGAACTGGAGAAAAATCATATACTGGAATACAATGTTCACTCTTTGGGCAAATCTATAATTCCATGAAAATAAGAAACATTTCAATACAAATAGACTTCAAGTATTTAAAAATCATTAATATAATATAAAATACCCTAAATAAAAACATCTAACAATTATAATACATTGTTACCTGTAAATTTCAAGATGGTATTTCACTAAATTCTCCAGAGTTCTCTTATAGTTATGTTTCAAATGCTGTTTAAACATATTATTTCCTTCTGCTTCCGTGATCGAAGCGGCGAAGTTCCGGGCACGATGGCAGAAAATCTCGAATTGCGCCCCGGCTTGTATCATCAGTCCTGCGATCAGGGTCTCGTTAGCTACGCTCGTGTTCGCGCAGATCATCAAACTCATCGTCTGATATAACAGCGATATTAAATATGATTCTTGCGATGATAAATCGTACGGCATCCAATCGGAAAATGGTAAACTTCTCGTTTCTATGAGCAGATTGAATTGCGCCACTGTTCCGAAGAACACGGCTGATTCGTTAAGGATCTCACAGTATATCGTCAATTTCCTGCAAGCAATATATGCTCAATAATCTACAATTAAAACAATGATAATGAACAATATTAAAATATTAAGTATTACCCTAAATAAAAACATCTAACAATTATAATACATTGTTACCTGTAAATTTCAAGATGGTATTTCACTAAATTCTCCAGAGTTCTCTTATAGTTATGTTTCAAATGCTGTTTAAACATATTATTTCCTTCTGCTTCCGTGATCGAAGCGGCGAAGTTCCGGGCACGATGGCAGAAAATCTCGAATTGCGCCCCGGCTTGTATCATCAGTCCTGCGATCAGGGTCTCGTTAGCTACGCTCGTGTTCGCGCAGATCATCAAACTCATCGTCTGATATAACAGCGATATTAAATATGATTCTTGCGATGATAAATCGTACGGCATCCAATCGGAAAATGGTAAACTTCTCGTTTCTATGAGCAGATTGAATTGCGCCACTGTTCCGAAGAACACGGCTGATTCGTTAAGGATCTCACAGTATATCGTCAATTTCCTGCAAGCAATATATGCTCAATAATCTACAATTAAAACAATGATAATGAACAATATTAAAATATTAAGTATAAAATGATTTTCTTCTTTAACATTGATTTTGATGATTTTATAAAATTGTAAATTATTAATATTACATAACATTTTTAATCAGAATAGTGAACCTTGCGTGTATATCATGTTTGCGTTGAATAAGCTTCTCCGTCTCATCCTTAGGAAGGCAATCCTCTTTCAACAGCATGTTCATCACATTTATAATTTCTTTTCTTTGAAGAAAAAGATTGGCCACTTTCAGACAGACGCCCAGTACGGAAATGCATAGTGAGAATTTCTCGGTCATGGTTTTGAGATCTTCGCTGATCAACGAATCGACGCAAATGCAGAACGTAAAAAAGTATAACGCCGAGATCATAAACACCGAGTAGATGTTGTACAACCAGTATTTAAAGGAACCAGTCGACCATTTTAATGGTCTCCAGTATCCGCAGAAGGTGAGTAGACCGAATGATACAGGAAGTTTATGCATCTCCTTTGTTTAAACTGCCTTTACAGTTGATTAAAAATGGAAAACAATTATGTAGTACTGTAGTGTAAAAGTTTTGTAACAGATTACAAAAAAATTGCACCAAAGCGTTTAATAAAAGGACGAGGATCCTGTCGAAGGAAAATATAGTTGGAAGAAGATGTATGTAAAAATGTATAACATTCACGGACTTCAATTACAGCTTCATCAAAACTCCGTTCTGTTGCACGATGAAAAAACATTTCTCAACTGACAATGAATTGGATTGAACAATTCTTCTTTTCTATCAATCTTTTTCATCGTCGGTCTTTTCCCTTTGTCAAGCGATGCAGTTATTATTAATACCCTCACGTGATTGCAGTCGAATTCGAACACAGAATTATTTATAAAGATAGAACATCATAGTAGCAAAATTCCTTTGACTGTAAAGTTTCATAGTCGACAGTAGTCAATTTTATTCGCCGTAAAATCGCTACCTACGACGGCTCTGTCATGAAACATGTCATTTTTTCCACTTCCGCAACGAAACAATATTCGAACGTAGATCGAGCGAAGGTAGAATGCAGGAAGGGTCGAATTTGTGATGGAAATACGTAATGACTCATCGATCATATTACCTACCTCCCTTTACGAAAATTAATAAACAATAAACCGGGAAGCACGAAGTGCGTTTAGTTCGCTGCCATCGGTCATACGAGTCGGAAGGGTTGCAATACTCTACTGGGAATTTGAATGACCAATATTTGGGTCCTTCAGAATTTGTAAGTAACAGAAAATAAAACATTCTATAGCTATAATTAAATAAAATAGCAAATAGTACGTTATATTAATCAAATAGGTCTATCGATATTTTTCGATTTTCTTTGGAAGATTAATTATTTTCGTAATTCTTTATATTGTCTATTTTTTACATGAAAATTGCAAATAACAATAACGGAATTTTCTATATTTCATTATATGATATATCTAAATAAATCAATTTTTTCATTTCAAATATACTGTGTGTAACTGAAGATAGCAGTTCCATTACTTTTGTCAATAATTTATTGAAACGTGTAAAAGCATCCGTACGTCATACATATGCGTGTGTGTTATATGTTATGCATCTTATATATGTATATTATTTTTATCTCTCCCCTTCTTTTTAATTAGCTTCTGGCTTAGAAGATTATTCGCTCTGGACACTATGCATTGTTTTGTTGGAGCAAGTTGTATGCCGAGTAGGAAGTTCTTAGTAACTGCAAATAAAGAATATTATTTTTCACAGAAAGGAAAGAAATAAAATTACATTCTTAGAGCAAATAGTATCGGGGGCGGCTTCCATATGTGTCGAAAGTGTAGAGGAATAAAAAGAGAGAGATATAGTTTTTCTGCATGCTGTCGTTTTTGGTCACGTGTGATTAGCCACGTCCGTCAAATTGTTTTTTACTGCAAATAAGGAGTGCTGTGAGAGAGAGATGACATTTCTATCCCGTCTACACCTTTAACGCTTGAGAAGTTGCTTCCAGTACTATTTATATGCTGATTTTCTAAGGTTACATTAAGAATACTGACTGACACAAAAGAATCAAGGTTCATGGAAATGATATAAAAACCAGTGAAACGAATGGGTTCCAGTGTACGTCTCATAATCACTAAAAGTATTTTTTTTGACTTCTCGTCCAATGACACTAAACCGTTTTCCAGTATCATGTCTGCAATCTCCTGGCTCTGTACAATAAATTAATATAATAAAATCATATTTTAATTGTAGAAAAATAAATAAATGGAATAGAGATGAAAATAAACCTTCAGTTTGACTTCGTTGCCGAACCAACAGTAATAGAATATTTGTAAGAGTAGACAAAATAAATAACAAGCGATTTCTACGAACTTTGGACCGAAGCTACATAGCGATAATCGATAGAGAATAAAGCACATCGTTCCAGTACTTATCATGAATTGTATGGACATTATCGTCTTAAAATTATCGTTCACCATCACTGCGAATCTGAAAGGTTTCATAAAAGAATGATTTCATCTATCTTATGAAATCAATAATCTCTCGCAATATAATACTTCACCTCTTATACAATTTCAGTTATCGAAACTCTTATTAATCATTTATACATAATATGTATATTGTAACTAACTTGTATATTTGATCGTGATGATAAGCACAGCCTTTCGCCGAATACTTCTTGTTTACCATAATATTCCTCATACGGTGTCCAAGAATTTCCAGCTGGCAATAAATATGAATCAACAAGCTGCTGAACAGGCAATCGCAGATGATATTTATGTTCGTGCTAAACGTCGTGGCTATGATTTGATGTAAAAAAATAACGGCAAACAAACGTGGCGAGCTCAAGAATTTAGGTAGCCAGACTCGAAACTTCAATCTTCCATTTCTGAAGTCCGTAAAAAGCGAACCTATCCACATTAGACTAACGAAGCAGTGCATGGCAAATGTGTAGGCCATAGAGTTCCATCTTTAAGCAATTAATTTCCGGTTTTTTCCCCATTACCCTTTCAAACACGTATATTTTGTTATTTTAGCATAACTTACTCGATTTGATCTTCGAATTTCATACGGATCTTAATCTCTTCATCATTAAGCGGTACAAAAGGTTCCTTTTGTATAACGTCTATTAAAATCAGTATATCTCCTATGTAGATTAACAGCATGATCGTTTTTAAAGAACTGGAGAGTAACGTTAACGTCACGTACAAATTCTCGGCAAGATCATCCTGATCGTCCACGTTGATAAAAAGATCGAGAATAAGAAATATTTCCAAAGAGATGAGCAGTACACTTAATGTGCCTGCATAAATTTTGTATAAAACTCTCTTCCACAATGATTTCCAAGAGGATGGTTTTAATAAACCGGTCAGAGTAAGAAGTTTAAATATCAGTTGTAATGTATACATCTTAAATATTTTATATTTTGATAATAAATTCCTTCTGATTTATAATTCTAGTAAAATTTTATTGTTGGTCAGTTAAAGAAAAAAAAGAAAATTGGAAATATTTCACTCGCTCGAATGGATCAAATGAAAAACGCACTTAGCAATTGATACCTGTCGTCTATTCTTTATAAAGAATCGTTGCGAATATACAGATAAGCAAAAAAATAGTTTTAGTCAGTTTCCTTTCAGTTCGGAATGTACCTATAAACTATCATTATTTTTTCTTACATATGCTTGTCTTTAACCCTTTATTACGTTCCATTAAAAGAAAAGCGGACTTCCTGCTACAAATAATGTAAAGTTTTCTCTGCTCAAATTAAATGTCATTTCGCGGAATGCAGTATTATTGAACACAGTAGGACGGGGTGCATTCCTAATAAACCTGTAGAAGAGCTCGTCCCTCAAACGTGCATGGGACGTTGCAAAGAGAGTACCTCGGAGGTTCCGACTTTTCATATAAACATCCGTCATTGAAATAACAACTGTTCGATATGTTTCACGCGTGAAATAGAAACTACGAAATCTAAATTTGAACAGTGTGTATACGTGTGTGTCTGACGGATAACTATTTCCTTGATAAATGTGCCTATAAGAAGAAGTGTTAAACATTCTCGTTGTTGTACATATGTTTTTAATCCATTTTTCATCTTTTGTTTGCTCGTGTAATTGCAGTGAAGTTCAGTGTACGGAAATAAATTAATCACAAAACATGCGTCCATCAATTTAAATTGACGAAGAAGTTAGAGAAGTATTCATGAACGAGTGCTTTAAGATTTACTTTCCTCAACAGCATTCAATATTGCAGTACAATATTGTGGCAATAAAAAAATTAGAAACGATCGATTTTCTGGATCAACTTTTGATCGATTCCCTTCTAAATTGAAGAAGAGGGTACAATAAATGTGCATTACGTATATCTAAAATTTATTACGTTTATTGTAATGAAAAAATAATAGGAATATTTTAAATTTTATGTTACGGCTAGCAGAAAATCACTATAATTAAATAGTTAAATTTCCGGGTTAACGTTCGAAGATTAATAACATGATCTTACAGGTGCTTCATATGGCCAGCACCGTCGTTAAAGGATTAAAAACATCTTTTGCTTCACTTTTTTACAAATTCTTGTTTTGTTGCATCATGTTAAATGCAGAATACGAAGTCTTCAATAACTGTAATTAAAATTTGTTTTAGTGTTTATTATTTAAATGTCAGATTGAAATTACTGACCGCCATGAAGGAATCTAGATTGACAGAGACAATGTGAACGCTGGTAAACTCAACAGGTTTCATTGCGCGCCTCATCACAATTAGGAATGATTTTTTCGCGTCGTTATTCAATGACAACCAGTCATTTCTGAATATCATATCAGGAAGTTCCAGACTCTAAATGGAAAATAATTGACCATACTACTTAATAAAATATTCTCTCTCTGTAACGTTTCGTAAAGCTGTTGTATTACTAAACCTTAATTTTGACCTCGTTGCCATACCAACAGTAATAAAATATCTGGGTCAGGGTACAAATCGAGTAAAGAGTCGTTTCGATGAATTTGGAATCAATTTTGATTTGCGTCATTCTATAGAGATTGAAGCAGAGCACTGACATACTTATGAAGAATTGAAAGAACACAATTATTTTGAATTCGTTATTAACCATTTTAGCGAATCTGTAAATTTAGGAAAAGATTTTACAA